CAAGCAGATGGCCATCGAAGTGGACGCCCTCAACGCCCGTGTGGTTGAGGCCGAGACCCGCCTGAAGTCTGAGGTCACGAAGGTCAAGAAGAAGATGCAGGTCACCATCACCGAGCTTGAGATGAGCCTCGACACCGCCAACAAGTGCAACATTGACCTGCAGAAGACTGTTAAGAAGCAGGCTATTTCCCTCCAGGTTGGGGTCTCCCTCTCCCTTTTATTCTCTTTCTGTTCGCTAGTTTTAGTAATAATTAAATAGATAAGATTAGTTTCTCTCTCTTTGGCTTTGATTTTCTCTCTCTATAAACTATTTTTGTAATAGATATACGGATAAGATTAGTGTCTCTCCTTGTCATGTACTCTATCTTGTGTCTCCTACTGTCTTGTATTCTCTCTCTATTCGGTTTTAATGATAAGGAGATAAGATTGGTCTCTCTCTAATTCTGATATTACCATGAAAGCATAACACAAGTGAAAAAATATTATTCTCTTAATATCTACCCATCAATTGTTGCAATTCAACGACAAGATACAGACCGAAGTTTTTTCCTTTCACGTAGAACTCGCTAACCTCTTATTCCGTCCTCCCTCCGCCTACAGGAGCTCCAGACTCACTACGACGAGATCCAGCGCCAGCTCCAGCAGACCCTCGACCAGTACGGCGTCGCCCAGCGCCGCGTCCAGGCCCTCACTGCTGAGTACGAGGAGGCCCGCGCCAACCTCGAGGCTGTAAGTACTTTTGGCGGGAACTGGTGTCAGCTTTCGTTGTCTTTTGCCTTTCCGTTCTCTTTTCGTCGTTTTTTCTATTTTGTTCTGTTGTCTTCTTGTTATTGTATCCTTCTTTTCCTCTCTGCCCTCCTGTTCTACACCCAACTTCCTCTTGTATTATTCCCTCAAAAAAATGATCGTTGAATTCTCCTCTTTTATTGTCCTTTTTCATGAAGACATCAGCCCTCTTTTACTTAGCAAATATATGTTAAATAACATATATATATATATATATAATATATAATTATTATATATATATATATATATATATATATATAATATATATATATATGAGGATTCAGTCATATTTCTTATCCTTCTTTTTTATGAGAAAAGTACAACTCCCCAAAAACCTTTTTTCTCCTCATCCACCCCTTCTCCTTCAAGCTATCCGTGGCCGCCAGTCTTTTATAAAAAATAGGAATACAACAAAGGTAACGCCTTGTTTTTCTCTTCATGGTCCACCTCTTTCCCAGGCTATCCGTGCCCCGCCGCTCCGCCGAGATACAGTACGAGGAATCCTCCGCTCGCATCAAGGACCTGACCACCATCAACATCAACCTCACCAACGCCAAGGCTAAGCTCGAACAGGAACTTTGCGTCATCGCTGGAGACTACGATGAAGTCAGCAAGGAACTTAGGGTGAGTGACGGCGAAGTTTAAGGTTTTTTTATTTTTATTTATTTATTTATTTATTTTTTTTTTTAGGGGTTGGGTGATAGGGGGATGGGTGGGCATGGGTTGGTGGGGTGAGGGTGTGTGTGTGGGTTTGGGTATGGGTGTGCATGTGGATGTGTGTGGGGGGGGTGGGGGGGGGTTGGCTGTGTGTGTTATTTTCAAATGACAAAATCAGAGTATTGAGAAAAAAGCTGTTTCATTAAGTGTGAATGTCGTCGTATTTTTAAAAATACGAACATCTATCTGGTTCGAATGTGAAACGCCAAATTTAATCTGACGACATTTTTATGTGTGCGCATGAACTCCAATATATACTCATGCCTCTATATCTATACTCTTAATCCTGAATGCATTTACCCTGGCGAATCACATTATACATTCATTTATCTACGTTCATGTCTCAGAACTTGAAAACATTAATCCAAAACTATCTTATCCATTCAAATTCATTAGAGCAATATATTCCCAACGAAGACTTTTCACACACAAATTATCTCAAAGCAAGTAATAGTCTCACACACAGCTCTCCCACCCAAAATATCTTTAAAATCTCATTTATTAATCCCAAATTCCCTCCCTCATCAACCCAGACGTTCTCAAATTACTAATCCTATACCTCGCACATTCTCTCCCATTCTCTCTCATTACTCATTCTCTCCCTTCTCCCCCCAGCTGTGCGAGGAGCGCCTGAGCAAGGTCAGCGTGGAACTGAAGCGCACCGTCGAGATCCTCCACGAAGAACAGGAACGCTACGTCAAGATCGAGTCCATCAAGAAGTCCCTCGAAGTCGAAGTCAAGAACCTCAACATCCGCATCGAGAACGTCGAGGCCAACTCGCTCGCCAACACCAAGAGGATGATCTCCAAGCTGGAGGCTAGGGTGAGTGTGGGCGAGGGAGGCTGAGCGTCAAAGTGAGGGAGGGTGGGTTAGGGTGAGATAGGGCGGTTTTAGGGTGAGTCTGGGGGCTTTCAGGGGGTTAGGGTAAATTTCCCAAAGCTAGGAGCGTATGGATGTGAGTATGGATAGGTCAGGGTGAGTAAAGGTAGATTAGGGA